AGTGAGCGCAATGGCCGATGCTATGCCGATCCAAAGCCAGGGATCTGGGTCTCCCACACGGGTGCAGGGTCCCAAAGCTTTGGGCCGTCCTCGACTGCTTTCCCAGGCCACAGGCAGGAAGCTGGAAGGGAAGCGGGGCTGCCGGGATTAGAACCGGCGCCCATATGAGATCCCGGGCGTGCAAGGCCACCGCGCCGGACCCAATCTTTTGACTTCAGAGTGTCTAGAACCCTGAGAATTTGCACCAGATGGAAAGGAAACATTTGGGGAGAAGTAACAACGGCAGCATGGGGTATTTTAGTTCACAGGCGTAGGGAAAGAACAGTGTTACTGATGACAAGAGTGGAGAGTAGGGCATTGTAGAATGTTCCGAATGTTCTTTTTTTTTTTTTAACAAATGATAGATAAAACTGTGTCTCAGTGACTCAGTTCTATAATATTCCAGAATAAAAGCATAAAGAGTGAGGTTGTGATGGATGACTACTCCAGACAGTCTCTCAAGTTCAGTCCTGCACAGTTAGAAAAAAGCACAATCCTCATAGCAACTTGGCTCAGGATTTTGGCTGAAGATCAACAGGACTGAATGGCTGCACTTTGCATTTGAATGCAATTAACTGGGCCAGTTCCTTGGGGTAATCAAGCTGCAGGCAGCACACAGATGCTGGGAACTCAACAACACAAGTCCCAAATGCTGAGGGGAGTCTTAGTTGAATTTCCCCTCGTTGTGATGTGCAGGTCTAGGACTTCATACACAAGTTCACATCTCCAATTCCAATTTTAAGTGTGAACAGCAAAATCTGACTTGTATCCATTTTTTTGTTCTTAATAAAGAAGAGCTAAGCCACTTGTCACTTTTTTCTCTAGAAAATAATTTTACTGCTTTTGTGCAAGTGGTTTATGTTATTTTAAGACTGTCAGCAATATAAAAAGACACAAAGAAGGGAAAAAGCATGCTTTCAACCCTTGCTTCCCACTCAGATGATTTCCACCAATACTAGAAATAAGAAGGACTGAGAAAACACGCAGAAATGTGTATTATTAAGTTTGATTTTCTAGAAATATGAATCTTAAAAATGAGTCTGTTTTGACTATAAATTACTGCTTCATGAAGTGAAACTTGCTCATTGCTTTTCAGTACATGCTCTTCGTGCGGAGTCGCTTTGAGTACGGACAACGATCTTTCTGAGCCCAGAGAGCACGGTGCCAAGGCTCAGGAACGGAGGAAAGCTGCACCTTGGCGGTGATGTGATGGGGTGAAGCAGGATTGTGAAGCGCTTCTCCTCTTCAAAGTTCCAAGAGCATCGCCTGCCGTCGCTGGCTTACCGCGTCGCCTGAGCGTGTGAACAGCGCTGCTGATAGACACTGCAACCTGGAAAGTCGCTCTGAGAACTAGAACCCGCAGACAACAGATTATCTACCCCAAAACTTGTTTTATGTTGCCATCAAAGCAGAGCGTGCCCTTCTGGTAACCACTGAGCTATTTATCCAACAGATAAGCATCGGCTGCCCTCTTGGGATTTCCCCCAATTTTACCCGTTAGGAGTTTGCCATCTGGATGAGAAGTTAGAAAAAGAGCACTATTGTAACAACAAAGACTTAAGTAGCAAAATGACAAGGAGATTTGGCAAAAGGAGAAGCCAAGTATCTGGGCCGGGAGAGGACCGTAACCAGGGACAGGCTCAAGGAGGAGGTGTCGCTTGATTAGGGGCTGCACAGTAGATAGGATGTGAGAAGGTTTCTGTTTTTCCATATGTAGAATGGAGCTAATTGTGGAAAGAATTCCATCTAAGCGTGTGTCACATGGCGGAGTGGTCACCCCAGTGCTCTCTGTGGCCCTACTGGGGAAACGCAGCAACCCGAAGTGTCACGGGGGAAAATGGCTGTTCCATCCCAATGCCATTTATACCAAGTTCTGAGGAGGTGGCTGTCTGGGCATGCTTTTCCAAAGCCAGCAAATCAGGACTTTGTCTTGAAATCTTTCTGCTAGCAGCAAAAATGGAAGAGTCAAATAACTTTTAATAACTGATTAGAAGGTGGAGATCTGAAAGACACAAGGTGGATGGCCTCGGGGGTGCCGCCCGTGAGGTCCCTGCTGTGTTGCCTGCTGTAGCTCCTTTTTGGCCGCCACGTAAGAGTGTCAGAGGGAGTCTTGCTTCCAAACACACCTTGGACAGGTATCAGTACTTGTTTTTAAGAACATGCTATATTTATAAGAATATCTATAATCAAAATTTAGAATACAATTCAGCTAGTAGTTTAATTGTGCACTTACTGGTAACTATAAAAGTCAGCCAAACTCTGCCAACCCCCTAAACTTCATAATGAAAGAGACACATTCCTTCTGTTGAAGGAGCTGAGGCTTAGCAAGACCTCCCATCCTGCCCCACGTCACACAGTCACCAAGCAAATAGCCAATGACCCTACTAAGCTTCAGACATTCTTGAGAGAGCTACATAAACATCAGGGAATAAGACAGAATTCATCCCTACCTTGGGGCTCTTATTCAAGCAGAGGGACGTAATAAAAGGGGGAGACAGAAAGGAAAAACCAGCTCATGGTAAGGCCAGTGAGGAAAGAGTGACGCCATGGTGCATGATGGAGAGCAGTCTGGCTCATGGGCACGTGACGAGGACTGTCACACAGAACCCTCCTGACTCCTGCGCAAGTGCTCTGTAGTCACTGCCTCGAAATTCTTCATTCTGTCTTATGATTTACTTTGGATATGAGATCTAGTAAGATCCCAGAACACGAGAGCGGGCAGAAGCACATGCCTTCCGGTTCTTGCGTCCTCTCCCTCATGTAGCATCCTGATCCACCGGGAGCACAAGATTCCAGCCCCACTGAAATGGGGAGTTGAGTGAGACACAAGTCAGTGAGTGCCTGAGGCAAGCATGCCACGTGTGCAGTGAGAAAGCAGGGATACTGACACCCTTCATCCAGAGCTGGCTTCTAAGGTGGAAAAACAATGGGATCCAAAGAACCCAACCTTATCTTTTCTTACTTGCATTAATTCTGGTTGTAATCAGTCAGAACTCTGAGATGGGGAAGAGAGAAGCAAGGAAGGGCAGTTTATCTTCTCTTCAGACCTTGCTTACTCACTTGTAAGCCGAAAGTAGCAAGCATGGAAGGTGCACTCAAACCACCTGTAGGGGTCTTGTGGCCATGTCTTTGTAACAGCGCTTCCTGAGACTTTGCTGTGACAGTGCTGTTTAAAACAAAAACCTTTTCAAAAGATCTTCAGTGATCCCAGTTTCTCCCACCTTCCTTACAGCTGTCATCCATCCAAAGTGCAAGGCTGGGGCCCAGCGCAGTAGCCTAGTGGCTAAAGTCCTTGTCTTGCATGCACCAGAATCCCATATGGACACTGGTTCTAATCCCGGGGATCCCGCTTCCCATCCAGCTCCCTGCTTGTGGCCTGGGAAAGCAGTCAAGGATGGCCCAAAGCCTTGGGACCATGCACCCACGTGCGAGACTGGGAGGAATCTCCTGGCTTCTTCGGACTGTCTCAGCTCCAGCTGTTGGGGCCGCTTGGGGAGTGAACCATCAAAGGAAGGTATTTCCCTCTGTCTCTCCTCCTCTCTGAATATCTGCCTTTCCAATACATACATGAATGCATACATACATATTTAAAAGACAAAACAAAATGCGACAGGGCCGACTGGCGGGACCAGAAGTGATGCCGGAAGACCGGGCGGAGCGCTTGGCCGCTGCACCTGCCGAAGGCGCATTCACAGCGTCTGTCTTCTACACTTCAGAATCCGGGAAGATTTAGGTGTAGTTTGAGGGACAACCCGCAGTTACGTTTGCCACAAGCCTTCGCATGGCTCCAGGATGTTACTGCTCCCATTGTGCTCACTGGGGTGCTTCCCTTAACCCCCCCCCCCCGCTTCTTTTTTTGTGGAGAGAGAGAATGCGAGAGTTACCCCATCCAGCAGTTGACCCCTGTGTGCGAGGCAGACCCAAGTACTGAGCCACCTGCTGCCTCCCATGGTGCATGTGAGCTGGAAGGCAGAGGGGAGGCAGGTGTCTTGGCTGCCGGGCCATATGTCCACAGCTAAACCCTTTTGTTTGCGCTGCGCTGCCTCCTCCTCTGAGCTCAGGCACCATTCGGGACGCGGTTTTAGGCTGCTGTGTTTTCAGGACAAGGCTCCTATTTGCCTAGTGTTATTTACTCTATCTTGCACTTCATCGGAACCGCATGTTTATCTGTGCCAATGTATGGAGCAGGCCACAGAGGTCTCTGTGTGGCAGAAGCGAACACAGGCTGTCTCCGCAGACACACAATAGTGACAGGCAGAAGCCACAATGGGCCTATGTCCGCACAGCCCGCGGCTGAGGCTGCGCAGCCCCGAGCAAGTGTGTATGGGCCCAGCACGTCGGGGTGGGTATTCTGCGGACGCTTGGCGGTACCAGGGCGCGGGCCAGTGCAACAGAAGCGCATTCAGCAGTCTCGGGCGGATTCCCACGGCCACACGGCCGCGGCTGGTGGCTCGGCTGGCTCGGCGCGCACCGCGGCCGCGCGTCCGCACACCGGGTCAAAGTCCAGGCCCGGGAGCCCAGGAGGAGGCCAAGGGCGGAGACAAAGCCGCTGCTCCCGGAGCCAGCGAATCCGGCTGCGGCTGGGCCAGCACACAGGCTCCCGGGCGAGCACCGGCCGCTCCTTCCCGCACAGCAGCGCAGAGCGCGCAGCCCCGGGGCCTGCTGGGGCGCCTTCCCGGCAGCCTCACACGGCGCCCGCCGCGGGCAGCGTGAGGTGGCCGTGGTCGCCGGCGCGAGTGGCCGAGGCTGCGCGCCCCGCGGGCTGGCGTGCGCCGTGCCGCCGCCGGGAGGCCCAGGCCGGCCGGGAGCGCCGCCGCCGCCGCCGGGAGGCCCGGCCACCGCTCGCCGCGCTCCCTTTGAAGCGCGGGGCCCGCCCCAGCTCCGGGGGGTGACGGGGCAGAAGGGGCGGGCGCAGGCGGGCCGTGCACCGCCGCCCGCGCGCCGCCGCCGCCTCGCCATTCAGTCGCCCAACATGGCTGGAGCGCGGCGGAGGTGAGCCGGCCGCCCCCTGCCGCCCAGCCTGCTGCAGCCCGAGCGCCGCGACACCGGCGCCGCCTCAGCCCGAGGGCCCGGCCGCTGCTCGCCGCCGGCATGTGGGGCTCCGCGGACGAGAGCTCCGTGCGGGTGGCTGTCAGGTGAGCGGGACCTGCGTGGGCGGAGGGCGCGCGGCGACCTGGCCGGGGCTGAGTGAGGGGCGTCCGGCCGGAGCCGGCGGCTGGGGAAACTGAGGCAGCGGGGCACGCTTCCTCGGAACCCGCGGCGCCCTGTCGCCTGTGGAGGGCGAGCGCAGGTGACCGGCTGGCCCCGGCTGAGTGGGGTGAGGTGAGGGCGTCCGGACCCCTCACGGGGGAGATCCCACGCGCGGGGACTGTCGCCTCGGCGTGGCCGCACGGGCGGTCGCTGGTCCGGTTTGCCGGCGCAGTGTCTGATTATTTTAGAATCTGGCAGGGGCGCGCGGGCGGCGGCGGCCTCCCGAGGCCGAGACAAAGCCCGGGGCGCGCCGCTCCCGCGGGTCCCCGAGGCCGGGCGTCACGGGGACCGGGGACACCCCGGCGCGCGGACTCGGGCAGGGATCTGGCCCGTGCGGGGTGTGGCGCTGGGAATGGTGTTTTAGGGTCCGATTGCCACCTCCCATCGCCACCCAGGGGTGGGTCTGCCGGAGGAGGGGAGAGTCTTGAGTGAGAGGAAGGGTCCCCGGGTGACCGTGACCATCGGAGGCTGCAGAAGCATACAGTCGGTGTCTAATAGCGATATCGCACCTGCGTGGGCATGGGTCTTTCAATGACTGGTCTGTCACAGTGGGGCTTGGTGTCGTTTCAATGCCTGGCAAGGCCACTGACAGTTGTTGCTGGAAAATTGCAACATCATTGCGCTCCTGGAAACATGAATGAAGCTGCGGTGCTGTAGTGACGTGGGCTCGCCTGGCCTCGGCATTTACCGTTAATTTTTGCTCTTCATGGATGAACACGAGCTCTCCAACAAGAAATTAGGCCTTCCACTTGGGCTCTCTTCCTGAGAAATTATTTTAAGAATTCTATCCCGAAAGCGTGCCTGTGCTGGTTGTTACAAAGGGTGCTTCTTGATTGGGCACTGAAAGAGCAGTTTTAGACACTTTGTATCTTGAAGCTGTGGGAAGCATCAGCTGGAAGTCTTGTTTTCTTTTTTGGTTCCTTGTTTTAGGGAGGTGGAAATGACCTCCCACGGAGGTGACAGTTTTATGGCCCTTGAGAATCACCTGTTCACAAGCAGCTTTCCCGGCCTGCCTGCTGATAGCCTTGCATGTGTCAGGATCCCATGTGGGTGCTGCTTCGTGTCCCTGCAGCCCCACTTCCCATCCAGCTCCCTGCCTGTGGCGTGGGAAAGCAGTCAAGGATGGTCCAGAGCCTTGGGACCTTGTACCAGCGAGAGAGACCTGAAAGAAGCTCCTGGCTGCTGGCTCTGGATCGGCGAGGCTCCAGCCATTGCAGCCACTTGGGGAGTGAACAGAGGATTTTTCTGTCTCTCCTCTCTGTTAATCTGACTTTCTAATAGAATATAAATAATTCTTAAAAACAACAACCAGCCTGCTTGGTTATCTTAGGTGATTTCTGTTGGTTTGATTTGTGTCGCATTGCTGCTGCTCCCTCCCTTGTGGCCTTTGATTCGCATTGAGGATGGTGGGTTGAGAGCAGGGAGAGCAGTGGGAGCCAGGAAGGCCAGCAAGGGGCCGTTTTCTGAACAGATCTGGTCTGGAAGGTGAAGGCAGAACGTAATGTCTTAATAAGAACAGAGCACGGGCCTGTGAAAGAACCATTTTTCCAGATTGTGTGACCCCTCCAAGGTGTCCCAGGCTACCTGTTGACCATTCTGTTGGACGCAAAGTTCCTTCCAGTGGAGCTAGGTGGAACCAGGCTGAGCCTAGTGTAACTTTCCGTGGTGACTTTGGTTCTGGTGTGCTATGGGGTCTGGTTTTTTTGGGCAAAAGCTTCATAAAAACTTTGGTAGAACTTAGAAAACCACATAAGGAACATCTCATTTAGTGTGGGGATTTTTTTTTTAATTGAATGCATTGTTTTCTGAGCTAAAATTTCTCTATATAGGATAGAAATGCCATGTTTATGTAGCTCTGTAGTATTTTTGAGGTGCTTGGATGTGCCTTATTCCTTTATGATAGATGGTTGGTGAACATTTTACTGATTTTTTTTCTCCATCTCTGTTGTCACTACTTTTGACACAAAAATAGTGTTAACTGTTGGCCAGCTGTCAGGGTCAGTGCTGTGTGTTAAGATGTTTTACAACAAGTTAAAAATCTTGTTTACTCTTCATAGCAACTAATGAGCTAGATCCTATAATCATAATGTCCATTTTACAAATGAAACACAGAAAGATTTAAGTAAATTGCCTGAAGTCAGCTGGTTTCAAACGGCAGAACCGGAGTTCCAACCTAGACAGCTGACCCTCCAGCCAGCTTAGGTGAGAGGCAAGAGCCTGCTTTGCAGAGTCCTACTTAGCCGAAGGTCAGTTGCTTCTTCCTGTCTGGGCTCTAGTTCAGGTCCTGATGAATGGCTTTCATGGGGTATTCACACCCTGGCACTGCAAGAATAGACAGCGCTCATTAAAACAAGACCCGAGCTGAAGCCAGCTAAGACCTTTCCGGGTTGTCTTCCCAGTGTCCTCAATCCTGTCTTGCAGTCTGTGGCTGGCTTTGTCAGCAGGATAAATAAATCAACAAAAAATGTTGAATCTATACACAGAACCAACACAGGCATTTGACCTGCTTTTCCCTTCCGCGAATAGTGTAAGAGCAGGTGCCGGAGACTTGACTGCACGTGTGTAGATGCACACAGCATCTCGGAGGGGCTCGTGTCATTAGCTGTGGAAGCTGAGGAGCATGTGCAAGTCCGGGAGTCTGCTGTGGGTTTCTCTAAACAAGTACCGGGCCCCTACCAGGCTTTGGGAGGGAGGTTCAACAGGGAAGCTTCTCGTCCAGGGAGCAAGATTTGTATTCCGTTTTCAACAGTGCCTTTTGGCAGGGAATATTCAAGGTGTTCCGAGTGGTGACCTTTCGTTGTGGGAGTCTTAGTTATTATCCAGCCCTGTATGGATTTTGAGTTTTGGTGAAAACTACTAAGGAACCAAACTCGAAATTGTATTCGAGTGAATTTCAATGTAAAAGATTGGTCCTTGATTCAGTTACAGGAAACTTTTCCACATCCTTGGAAAAACTTGGTCATGTGGCTTTCCTTTTTCAGCTGTGAAGTTTATGAAATGTAATTACTGGTGCAGTATTTCCTATCAAGATTTTGTTCCACATTGACAGGTGGTACAAGTGTAATGTAAACACGAGATTCAAAGACTTAGAAAAGGCCTCACCTTTTTTTTTTTTTAAATTCTATATTGAAACAATATTTTTATTTCATTCTGGTATATGAAGTGTTGTTTAATTCATTTCATCTTTTGTGTGTGTGATCTAGAATGTGCTGGAAGAAACTTCCAAGGCACCTAGATGGTTCCCGTGGTGAGCGTTGCTGGAGAGTGCTTCTCTATAACCAGGTTAACGTGAGGATGAAGCACCAAATAAAGCTATTCACAGACGTGCTATCATTGATTGACCACTCATCAGCAAACGCCAGGATGACAGGTGTCTGCTCTTTGAGTGTACTCACATATCTACCAACAGACACGAACCCGCGTACACCTGCTTGCTCATAGCATTTTTCTCAAGGTGGACGGATGTAGACTGGCACCGAGTGGGGGCTCTGCATGGTTGTTGACGTTCCACAAAGTATGCTGGCTGTCATCCCGACATGCGCAGTGGGTTGTAGTGTCTGTGTCAGTCCTGTTATCGAGGTGTGTGGTATTGGACTCTCAGCTCCCAGAGATCGGGGGAATTCAACGCTTTGTATTCTCTCAGACATCATGAGAGGATGCCTCCTTTGCTCTTTCCCTACCTTTAAGTGCTGACGCAACAAGACTGTAACTTCTTCCTTTTCAGGAAATTTAGCTTGCAGAATATGTTGAAAGCTTGATGAAAATGGAGATACCCAAGGGACTTTGTGTTGGTGTCATTGTCTGTGTGTGGTGTCTGAACTTGCTTTGGGTTTGGCCTGTAACCTTGGCCTTGCGTTCGGATTAGCATGTGGTATGGTCTGATTTGCGTGTCGGTGTGCTGTGTCTTCACTGCCCTCAGCACTTACAGAAAATGCCGTTGCTCAGAAGGCTTGTGGGCTCTTTGGGCAGTTGGTATTAGGTCTGTTCTTGGCACCCGTGTGCAATGTGACCTCCTTGCTCTGCTCGTTTTCCCCACGCTGAGGCGGCAGCCGGGAGAGGGGAGCTGTGAGTACATGGCACGTGCTGGCTACTGGCAGGGGTAGCTGTTTGTCACTGTTGCTACCATGCTGCTCTTGTGTCAGTAGCGAGGGGTTGTTGTGACATCTCGAGTTTGTCCTGATAATGTGTTTACTTTGGGTACCCTTCTTACCAAAGAAGAAATGTTTAGGCTGTTGTGGCTCCTTTGCCCCATTCTTCTACTTTATGTTACAGTTCTCAGCAGTATTCTGGATGGACTGTCCCCACTTTTTGGAGGGAAAATGCCTGCTGGAGATATTGGGTGCTTGGGCAGGGTTTCTCAGTGAGGACCAGGACTGCAGTCCCGTGCAGGTTGCTGTTCTCGCGTGCACGTACTCTTTGACCATTTAAAATGTTTCTTTATTAATTTCAATGTGATAGATATTTTAAGCTGCAGTGCTAAAGACACATCTGAGGTAAATTAATTGAAATAATTAATATTGAAAAATGTGGGGGCAAGTAAATGATTTGGGAAATGTGTTTTTCAAAATTTTTGTATTTCATATGAAGTGGAGGAGAGGCAGAGGAAAGAGACAGATCGAGCCGTCTTCCATCTGCGGGCTCATCCCCCAAATGCAGTAGCTGAGACTGGGCCTGCCCACAGCCAGGAGCCAGGAATTCCATTTGGGTCGGGCACTTGGCTGGCGAGGCGCGCGCAAGTCCTTGAGCCATCACTTCCTCCCAGGTGGGAGCTGGGTCAGAAGCTGAGGTCGGACTCCTTCTGAGGAAATGCAGAATGCGATGTGGCATCCTAAGTGGTTGAATCTGATTTTGGTTTTATTTATGCCTTCTTCGCTTCTTACTGAAA